ATATATATATATATATATATATATATATATATATATGTATGTATATATATATATATATGTATATATATATATATATATATATATATATATATATATATATATATATATATATATATATATGTGTATATATATATATATATATATATATATATATATATATATATATATATATATATATATATATATATATATATATATATAAATATATATATATATATATATATAAATATATATATATATATATATATATATATATATATATATATATATATATATATATATATATATATATATATATATATATATATATATATAACACACATACACACATATATATGTATATGTATATGTATATGTATATATATGTATATATATATATATATATATATATATATATATATATATATATATATATATATATATATATATATATAAATCAACCGTACTACGGCCAAAGAGGGCGAAGAGAGCCGGGCGCAGCAGAAGGGAAATTCGTTCCCAATTACTGCCGAGCTTTTCGGCCTTAAATCTTATTGGATTTTCGACGCGAGCCAAAGCCTATGACAAGAACATCCGGCAGATTAAGCGTAGATCAAGGCTATTGTATTTCAATTCCATTTCACAGAGGCAGTTAGCGGCGCGTCTGCGGCCGACGGATCTTGATATTGTCATCGAATCTTGCACTTGAGCTTCGCAGGGCGGCTCACGCGGAAGCCCGGCGCCCGCTCTCGGGATTTATCACTGCGGACGTCTGTTTGTGCTGCAATCTCGAGGTCATATATATATATATATATATATATATATATATATATATATATATATATATATATATATATATATATATATATATACGCATACACACAGACACACATATGTATGTATGTATATAAGTAGGCTTAGTAAGCTTGTTTCTCTGCAAACATATCCCCTACGTTCACATGGACATGGACAACTTTTTGATAAGTAAACACACACACACACAACACACACACACACACACACACACACACACACACACGCATATATATATATATATATATATATATATATATATATATATATATATATATATATATATATATGCACACACACACACACACACACACACACACACACACACACACACACACACACACACACACACACACATATATATATATATATATATATATATATATATATATATATATATATATACATGTGTGTGTGTGTGTGTGTGTGTATGTGTGTGCGTGTGTGTGTGGCACACAAATAGATATGCATACATGCACAAAAACTCCCCCTCCCCCAAACGATACCTATAAGCGTACATAACTACACATGTAGCAATTTACACGAAATACAAAAAAAAGACAAAAATCCCGCAGATGGCGGAGCTGTTGCGTCAGGGCATGGAACACAGTCATCTATTGCCGATCTGCTGTCTCTTCCTCTTCCCTTTTCCTCTCTTCGTTAAATTTTGATGAGTTTTCCTGAAGGGGGGGGGAGGAAGGGAGAAGGGAGATGAAGGGAGAGGGAGAAGGGAGATAAGAGGGGGGTAAGGAAGTGGAAGGAAGGGAAGGGAGAAAGAGGAAGGTGGGAAAAGGAGAAAGAGTAAGGAGGGAGAAGGGAGATGGAAGAAGGGGGTGAGGGAGAAAGAGGGGTAGGGAGAAGGAAAATAAGAGGGAGGTGAGGGAAGCAGAAGAAGGGAGGAGGGGCAGAAAGAGAAGTTAAAGAAAAGGAAAATAATAAGAAGGAAATTAATCTGAAAAATAGAGGGAAGAGAAAAGGAAAGGAGAAAGAAAAGGGAAGAAAAACGTGAGATAAATGAAAGAAAGCAGAGGAAGGATGAGGGGAAGGAGAAAGATGGAAAAAGTTGTGAGTGAGAAATGAAGAATAGAGAGAAGGAGAAAATGGGGGATAGGGCAGAGAAAGAAAACAAAAGAGTAGTAGGGAGAAAGAATGATATGAAAGGAAGACAGAGAAGAAGACCAAGAAGGAGAGTAACGAAAGACGGAAAGATGAGGGAGACAGATGAAAGAGAGGGAATGGATAAATTAGGGGAAGAGGAGGTAGGAGGAGAAGGAGAAAGAAAAAAAAAGGGAGAGAAAGAGGAGAAAGAAGGAGAGGCGAGAAGAGGGAAACGATTAATCATTCTCGTCATTACTGTTTTAATGATCTTTGGGATTAGCCTTGTATTAAGGAGGAAATTTTCGTACTGTAGGAGGAAGAGGAAGAAGGACGAAAGCGGATGGAAAGAAGAAGAGAAGAAATATGGAAGAAAGAAAGAAAAAAAAAGAAGTAGAAAACGAATTAAAACAAGAAGAAGAAAATAAAATAAGAGTAGGAAAGAAAATCGAGAAAGAGAGGAAAGAGAAAGCAGGAAGAAGAAGAAAACAAAACAAAAAGAAAAAAACGGAAAGTATAGCAAAAGAAGATTAAAAATTAAAATTAAGCAATGTTGGTTTTTGAATATAAATCAAGCGACAAAAAAAAAAAAATCCTTCTTCCATATACATGTCCTACCTTATGACTCTAAAAAGAAGAAATAAATTGAAAAAAAAAAAATTGAGAGAGACGGAAAGAGAAACGAAAAAAGAAAAGAAAAGAAAAAAAAATGTTTCCTCGCTCATCCTTCCCCATCAGAAGCTCCGAGTCTTGCTAATTTAATTACATGTGGCGCAAAGGTAATAGAAAACGGGTTCAAAGCCGGGGATAGAAAACGAAACCCGAACAATCGATGGGTGACTGATGAATTACTAATCGCAAGCTTGAATGGATTCGGGATAATTCTGTATGAAAATAATATGACATGCTGTTGGCATGGCAAAAATCGTTAATACAAATAGGATTTCTGAATAAAATATCACTTCTACTGGGCACACAGACATACCCGATACATGCATACACTGACAAGTATATATATATATATATATATATATATATATATATATATATATATGTATATGTAAAAGAATTATTGTATATATACATATAAACATGTATATATATGTATGCATATGTATATATGCATACATATATATATACATATATACATATATATATATATATATATATATGTATATATATACATATATATATATATATATATGTATATATATATATATATATATATATATATATATATGTATATATATATATACATATATATATATATATATATATATATATATATATATATATATATATATATATATATATATATATATATACACGGAGAATGGAACTTGGGGATGGAATCGAGTGCTTTAACTACTGGTTATATATATGTATATGTATATTTGTGTGTATATATATATATATATATATATATATATATATATATATATATATATATATATATATATATATATATATATACATACACACACACATACACACATTTGTATATACACACATATATATACATACACACAGAAATATATATACATACATATATACATATATATATGCATATGTTAACTGCCGCGATGGTCCAATGGGTAAAGCACTTGGACGCCGATCCTCGTGGTCCGAGTTCAATTCCCCGCCACGGCAGAACCGCGGTTGACTAGGAAGGGCATGCAATCAGGTAAGGGTGGTACTGCCAAATGACCTCTCAATAATATATTGAGAAAGGCCTAGATCCTGCAGTGGTATAAATGGCTGTTGAACAAACATGTTTATATATATGCACACACACACAGAATCTAATTTTCATGCTTACGTGTATAAAACTGTAAGTCAGAAGGATAATAAAATAATCATATATCACCTTTTATAATCCTTTTCTTCCTGACCTTTTAACAATTTGAACAATTATCTTGATTTTCGCCTTCCAAAAGCTACAGCAGTATGACGAAGTAAAAAAACAAAAACAAAAAAACATCTAAAATGGCCAAGAAAAAAAAAGAAAAAAATACCCGTATGATTCATGATAGATATTGCAAAACCTGAAAGAATATCCACTATAGGTATGTGCGTTTTCCGGATTTTAGGATAAGACATGAAGTGGATTTTAGGAAAAGTGGATTTTAGGATTAAGACATGAATGTTGATTTAGGATAAGACCAATGAAGTGGATTTTAGATAAGGACTGAACAGTGGGATTTTAGGATAAAGGACACGAGTGGATTTAGGATAAGACATGAACGTGGATCCATTGTAGGATTAACTAACACATGAAAGTGGGATTTTACGGATATAAGCACATGAAGTGGATTTTAGGATAAGACATGAAGTGGATTTTAAGGATAAGACATGAAGTGGACTTTTGGATAAACATGAAGTGGATTTTAGGATAAGAGCATGAAGTGGATTTTAGGAGAACACATGAAGTGGATTTTAGGATACGACATGGAAGTGGATTTTAGGATAAGACATGAGGTGGATTTAGGATTAAGACATGAAGGTGGATTTTAGGATAAGACATGAAAGTGGATTTTAGGATAAACATGAAGTGGATTTTAGGATAAAACATGAAGTGGGATTTTAGGAGAAGACATGAGTGGATTTTAGGATTAAAACAAAAAGGGATTTTAGGATAAGACATGAAAGTGGGATTTTATGATAAGACATGAAGTGGATTTTAGGATAAGACATGAAAAGTGGATTTTAGTATAAGACATGAAGTGTGATTTAGTATAAGACATGAGTGGATTTAGGATAAGACATGAAGTGGATTTTAGGATAAACATGAAGTGGATTTTAGGATAAGACATGAAGTGGATTTTAGGATAAGACATGAAGTGGATTTTAGGATAAGACATGAAGTGGATTTTAGGATAAGACATGAAGTGGATTTTAGGATAAGACATGGCAAGTGACAGAATTAAATGAATCGGGTGGAAAGAGAAGGGAGTGAGTGAGGTTAGGATTTTCATTGCTATTGGTATGATTATTTAAATACAAGTTTGAGTACTTTTCAAAAGAGAGATCGTGCTCTTAGTAAGCTTTTCATAATTCGCCAATAAGAGCTCAGTGTGGTTATAATAGGCATAACATGTGTTTATATTTTTAACCTAGTCCATAAATTCTTTGGTGCATAAACAAATTCACAATATCACACTTTCACACTTTCATCTCAACATGTCTCTAACGTGAATCATTAGACACCGTAGCATAGAGGAAGATAATAGGCTAATAAGTCACACAAAAAATAATACCAGATAAATGAAATCGATCAGTTTTCTAGTGCTTTCATTAACGTTATGACTCCCATTAATCAAATTCATATACTCTGTCATTCTTTAAAGAGACACGACATTACCAATGGTTCTCAGAATGTCGTGTCTGTGGCATGCTTCACATTATGCTATCCATTAACACATGAATTATTGAAATATCACTTAAAGCTTGGGAGTCAAACGTATAATCTTACTTTATAATCAGTTCGTTGCCTCGACGCACTGCCAATTTCCGTGAAGATGCTCCTGGCATTCATTTAGCGATGTTGTCTATATTCTGAATCGGAGAGTTGTCTCTATTTACGATTATTCCTATCATGTTATGCCCGTGACAAATAGCAGGGAAAAATAGGTGAAAAAATAGGTGAGAAAACAAAACCAAGCATATATATATATATACACATATATGTATATTACATATATATGTATATATATAAACATATATGTATATATATATAACATATATGCATATATATACTATATATATATATATATATATATATATATATATATATATATGCATGCATGCATACATACATACATATGCATGTGTGTGTGCCTGTTTGTGTGTGTGTGTGTGTGTGTAAACACACACACACACACACACACACACACACACATACACACATTTGTATATACACACATATACATATATATATATATACACATATATGTATATTACATATATATGTATATATATAAACATATATGTATATATATACATATATATATATATATATATGTATATATATATATATATCTATATATATATATATATATATATATATATACATATATACATATATATATATATATATACTATATATATATATACTATATATATATATATATATATATATACTATATATATATATACACGGAGAATGGAACTTGGGGATGGAATCGAGTGCTTTAACTACTGGTTATATATATGTATATATATATATATATATATATGTATATATATATATATAGATATATATATATATAATATATATATATATATATATTATATATATATATATACATACACACACACATACACACATTTGTATATACACACATATATATACATACACACAGAAATATATATACATACATATATACATATATATATATGCATATGTTAACTGCCGCGATGGTCCAATGGGTAAAGCACTTGGACGCCGATCCTCGTGGTCCGAGTTCAATTCCCCGCCACGGCAGAACCGCGGTTGACTAGGAAGGGCATGCAATCAGGTAAGGGTGGTACTGCCAAATGACCTCTCAATAATATATTGAGAAAGGCCTAGATCCTGCAGTGGTATAAATGGCTGTTGAACAAACATGTTTATATATATGCACACACACATAATCTAATTTTCATGCTCACGTGTATAAGACTGTAAGTCAGAAGGATAATAAAATAATCATATATCACCTTTTATAATCCTTTTCTTCCTGACCTTTTAACAATTTTAACAATTATCTTGATTTTCGCCTTCCAAAAGCTACAGCAGTATGACGAAGTAGAAAAAAAAAAAAGAGAGAGAAAAAAAAAACATCTAAAATGGCCAAGAAAAAAAAAAAAATACCCGTATGATTCATGATAGATATTGCAAAACCTGAAAGAATATCCACTATAGGTATGTGCGTTTTCCGGATTTTAGGATAAGACATGAAGTGGATTTTAGGAAAAGACATGAAGTGGATTTTAGGATAAGACATGAAGTGGATTTTAGGATAAGACATGAAGTGGATTTTAGGATAAAACATGAAGTGGATTTTAGGATAAGACATGAAGTGGATTTTAGGATAAGACATGAAGTGGATTTTAGGATAAGACATGAAGTGGATTTTAGGATAAGACATGAAGTGGATTTTAGGATAAGACATGAAGTGGATTTTAGGATAAAACATGAAGTGGATTTTAGGATAAGACATGAAGTGGATTTTAGGATAAGACATGAAGTGGATTTTAGGATAAGACATGAAGTGGATTTTAGGATAAGACATGAAGTGGATTTTAGGATAAGACATGAAGTGGATTTTAGGATAAGACATGAGGTGGATTTTAGGATAAGACATGAAGTGGATTTTAGGATAAGACATGAAGTGGATTTTAGGATAAAACATGAAGTGGATTTTAGGATAAAACATGAAGTGGATTTTAGGATAAGACATGAAGTGGATTTTAGGATAAAACAAAAAGTGGATTTTAGGATAAAACATGAAGTGGATTTTAGGATAAGACATGAAGTGGATTTTAGGATAAGACATGAAGTGGATTTTAGGATAAGACATGAAGTGGATTTTAGGATAAGACATGGCAAGTGACAGAATTAAATGAATCGGG